CATCTGCTGTCTCTGACAATCTTAAAGCATTTGTTTGTTGTATGGTGATTTCTCCGAAATCGTGTTGGTCATGTATTGATAAGACGTTTAGAATTGTAAACGTGGGTGAGTCATTGTTTCAGTGAAACCCCTACCAAGATGTGTCTATATCAAAAGTGACCAGTAGGTGTTACCGTGGAGACAAGTGTCGAAGTGTTCGAAGCCTCGACACAATTCCGGCACAATTGCTTAAAATGTTTCAGTGTTTCACAAAGCCTCGCTTTGCCCATCACTAGTACGTACTACTATTTTTTTTCCTCGATTGACCCCCTTGAATAAAAGATCACAGATATACCTGATGCATTTAGCACATGGCCATCACAATCAGCCATCTTGGATTGATGGGGTCAGCAAGCAATGAATATGTGGAATACAAGATAGTAAGCATTGTTACAATGTTGCTATCAATCAACTGACACTGTCCTCAAATGCCTTGCAGAACATAACCATGATATATTAATCCAAAATAGAGTTAAAATAACTGTCCACAAATGTGGACGCCATGCATGAAAGGATGGGCTAGGCATGATATAGAGCGAACAACGACAGAGTAAGTAATATAATTATCTGTAATTAAAGTTTTGGGTTAGCAAACTGTTGCTACAGTCGCTGCTGCAAAGCTAACACACAGAGGAGGAGATGGTCCCAGAGCGAGCACAGAAAGTAAGGAAAGTAAGCTGAATGTCTGTGGTCATTTAACATTACCTGACACACTAATCATGGATGGAACAGCTGGAATATTGTTGTGTGGCGGGGTTCATACATAAAATATTAAATGTGAGAGGACACAATTTTCTGCCATAACAGCGGGCCACTGTGTTTGTTTCCCATTTACAGAGCTGCTGTGTACAAACACTGGATTTCTTTTCAGCGCGCTAACAGAACGGACTGCTAGCGGATAATGAGGAGATATTTGCTGAATTTGACAAAAAGATGTCTATTGGATTAGAATACCTTACCCCATCTTCAAACAAAAATTAATGAAAGACAGTCCAGGTGTTTCTACTGTAATGAACAAAGTGATAAAGTGCAAAGTTAAAAAAGGAGGCAAAGTTTTTATCAAACTAAATGCAGCAACAAAGAGAAATCCTGCCTTCTGTAACGTGTTATTCTATCTAGCGAGCTAGCCTGGCATTGAAAATTAACTGAGAGGTTCCACACAAATTTTGTCTTGCCAAGGGTTGCCACCGAAACATGTGGTGTGCTTGATACGTTTTCAAGCAGAAAAAAGCCAGGTCAACTTTCTCAAATTACAGCTGGGCAGTACACTATAATGTGTTTCTGAAAACATTTGAGATATCTATCAGAGCAAATGAAACATGAGCTGAGCAGATTTGTCTGATTTGTGTGACAGCACGCCAAACGCATAGTTTAAGTTTTCTCTTTCTGCGTCCTCCACGCAGCCACAGAAGCAAATGCACCTGTGCATCAGGCGACCTTCAACCTGCTACAACTTCTGCTGTGAACTTTATTATTCCTCATTACCTCATCACTATGAATTTAGATCTCTTCCCTCTGCAGAATGAGTAAGAAGGTCTTCGGGGAAGCAGATTCACCTTAAAACATTTTAACACTGTTGTTTATTGGTGGTATTTTCATATGCCTGTGGATATGAAAGCAAGACTGTCTGACATTTTGTCTCCAGTGAAGCTGCGATTGATTTTTATAGCAGGGCATATTTCTGTTTCCAACAACAGCAGCTGTAAATGTCAGGTTTTGGTGTCAGTCCCTTACAGTCAAATAAGACCTGCTTCTTTCTAGACTGACCATTTTGCACCAACGTCCAACAATAACACAGGGAGAAATTTATCATACATGAGGCACAGATACTATTATCACAAAGATTATTTTATGGCATTTTGCTTTTCTTTTTTTTTACATAGTTGACAGTAAGGAGCAAAGGGATATGGAATAATAGAGGAGGGATGATATATGACAAAGATCAAACCCAGATGGAAACCTGTCTAAATTATTTTATCAAATAGTCATATGAAGACTTGACAGAGTTATATCACTACTCACTCTATTTACCATCTTTCATTATGTACAGTTTATGGAAGATGGTCAGAATCAGCCAAAGCAAACATGCAACCACAAAACAATGTCTAAAAACACGTTTGATGGATAGGAACAGATTGTAATTCTTAAGGGAATTAACTAATGACAGAAATTTGGGATATCAATTTATATTTGTATTCCTAGATATATTACATACTGCAACTGATTTACATTAAACAAATGACACAACAATAATACGAAGTATATATAATAAGAAAAAAATAAAAACTTTCAAACTGGACTTGGCAAGCATAAGAAGAAGATATAACTAGTCAAATGCGTGCTAATAAAATATACAAAAGCATGTTCCTGTTAAGTGTGTTGTAAGAGCTTATTTTGAAATTGCATTGATGCTGGCTGTCAAACTCCATATTTCAACATTATAGAGGCCAGACAAAGGCAAAGAGGAAGGGAATGACAGCAAGACAATGGTGGTTGCTTTACAAACAACAGCTTTATTTATGTTATATGCTTCAGAGAGTGTAGAGAAAATTAGACTGAGGAACAAAAGGGATGAAAACAAAAATAAGCAAACTAAAGAGAACTGAAATGAGTCAACCAAGAAGAGACAGGCTGGATGAAACAAGAAACACACAATTCAGACAGAGTGACAATGTGGGGGATAAGACAGGGAGAGAAAGGGACTATAGTGTAACCCAGAGAACTGGACTGGACATTTGTGATTAGTACAGGGCAGAGAGCAGCAGGCTCAGCAGACTTTGTGCAATATTCATGTGCAGCTGCTGAATCCTACATTCATTTTTAGCTTTTCTGAACTCGCCCATATTGTTGCAGTATCTTTAATTAAAGCCACAAATTTGTTCACATTAGCCCGATTCTGTCCACCTTCATCCATTTCATAATTCAAAATAGCTCTAACTTCAAGATCCTGTCCTAACATAGCGTATACTGTAATTCAATACTCAACCTCTCCCTATCATGTTTTTAAAAACATTTTTTATCATCTGTTATGTGCCCTATCATGGACAATACTGGGAGTGTTGCTATCTCCAAAATACATGTATTTGCAAACAATTTGCAAAAAACTTGTAATTGTTATATTCAATGACAACGCATCATTTACTTGACATAAAGAGAAAAGCATTACAGGCCCCACATATCTACAAAGGGTCACGGATAGCACAATAAAGTCTGTGGTGTGGACAAAAAAAAAAGTATTTTCCTAAAAGCCAAAGCAGCCACAGAAACAACACAGTCACAACAGGGAACTAATGCATGAGAACTGCAAGGAGATGAAGAAGGAGAGACAGCACCTAGAAGATAGAGAGATGCGACCAACGACCAGTTCATCATAGTTTATAATAATGCAGGGCAGCGAGGATACAGACATTTCATACAGCATATATAAGAGGGATCTTGTCTGTTTGTCGCAGTTAAGTTTATACGCTTCCCTGATAAACCACAGAACTGTAGAGTAACATTAGGCTACATGATTAAAGAAAGTTTTTATATCAAAGTGTGACTTCGGTCCATACTCACACGCACCCTCTTTCTTTCTCCCTGCTGCAAGTCTGCTTTGTGAACTGCCAAATGGTGCATCGCTTTAAATGTTGCAGCCCCGGGGAATTGTGGGATGGCATTATCTCCTTTCCCTTCATAAAGGATGTTCCAGTGTATCCTATGCTAAAGGAGATAAGAAACAAAGCAATAAAGCACTTTTTCTTGGCTGCCACTTAAATACTTCCAGGTCATTCCACTCAGTTAAGAACCTAAGCAAAAAAGACTATTCAACTGCAACCCAAAACTTATTTATGTAAAGACATTAACATTAATGAGTATAGGTGCCTAGGTGACATCATACCACCATCATATTTATACAATATACACAACATGTATCACTCAAAAATAAATAAATAAATAAATAAAATTACAATTGATTGACCCTTTGCTAAGCCACGCCCCAAATACGCAGCTGGCCAATCACAGCGTAGTATAGGACTTGCTCTAACTGAGGTCCAACAATTTCATGGCTGCGCTCCATTGACTTGTGCAAAATCCGTTGTTTTCTAGCTTTTTTTGCTGTATTTTTATAAGATATGGTCAAATCCTGTTGCTGGGGCACCTGTAATAGTTACAGTCGCTAGCCAGAGAGGTACGATTTATTCACTTTACAAAACCTAAAACAAATCCAGGAAAATGTTGGCTGTCTGTTGTTTTTAATGTAATGTCAGTTAGCTAACATTAGCTAACTTACTACTGAATTTAACATTATATAACCCCACTGTTCTGCTTTTTAATGATTGTAAGAGTGAATAGAGACCTACCCAGCTGTGCTGGAGCAGTGTTGATCATTTATATCGTTGTTCTCTTTCTCAATAGTCAATAATAATACGGTGTTTCACTAGTTTTACTCTGTGATCGGTAGGCTTTAGCTTCTGTCTTTATTTTTTTCACGTCAGTTTGACAGCCTGAATACAACCTTCAAATGCACAATGCAACTGCAAAACTGTCTGCTTCTTTCTGAGATCACCCTTTGCAAAAATTAGACAATATTTCTCCAGGGAGTGCAGTAATAGACTGTGGCAACGCCGTGATAAAAGTCCGACAGGTCTTAGCGAAGGTCAATTACATGCAAATTTACTAAGAGGATAAGCTCACACTTCCAAGCTTTCATGGCTCTAATCTTGGAACCCATCGGCTATCATCTGATGTCGATTTAGCCTCTGGGGGCAACAGCCAGTGTTTCGGGGTTCCTCTTAGGTAATGCAATCTCTCAACCCATTAGCTATCATATGACAATGATTTTAACGCAGTTACACTTTTAAAAAAGCTATTAGAAAACAAATCTTTCAGGGTTCAGTTAGTGCTTAGTCAGTGTGTTGACAAGTGATGGCCACTCAGTCTATACTGAATGTAAGCTAGGACAGAACCACATAGCCAGAGACAGAGAGAGACAAAGTACAAGTACCACAAAGTAAAAACCTCCAAACACCTCAAAGTTACGGTGTTTAAGTTTAGCACTTTTGGTTACTGGTGGTTATTGCAAATGTGTTTTAATGATCAGTTACAGGTCCCAGAGTACTGTCAAGTCCAGACTGCATAAATGGTTCCTGTGAGTCTCTCGTGCAAAGGTACATAAGTAGATCCTGAGATGTTGGGCTTTTTGAAGTGTTGTTGATTCAGTTTTATGTAAGATGACAGTGTACTAATGGCGGTGGTAGTTTTTTCCGTAGTATAAAAATACTATGCTATAGCATGGTTTGTTTGAATGGCATTATCTCAACTACCCAAAGTGGGATATCATAACATATACATTTTTTTATAGTTTTGTTCCTGTAATAATATTAAGTTATTAAAAGGATATTCACAAATACCTTACTGTATGATTGGCCAGCACGTTGCCCAAGAACTACATCTATATCCTATGCAGTTAGCTAGCTAATCAACAGACCAAATTTCAAGAATTCATTTAAAGCTTTAGAATGGCTATGCTTTGTTTTGTGTTTTAAGTAGAAGTCTCCTGTTAAAAGAGGTGGCCATAAAATGCCTCACACATGCAGCCATGAACAATTTATGGTTGTTTTTCAGGGTCACAAGCTCTGATTTCGTTTTGCCCATCCATTCAGTCCCGCAAGGTGAGAACCAGCCGAGAAGAGCACCAGCCGCCAGTCTCTGGCAGCAGCAGGTAACCGGTCACACAGCAGCTGATAGTTAATGAGACAGCTAGCCAACTGCCAGTTAGCAGCCACCTGGCCAGCCAGCAGCTGGTGACCAGCCCCTGAACCAGCCAGACACCATTAGGCAGCTACCAATCTGTCACCCAGGGAGCCAACAGGGAGCCAGCAATACTACAGAAGGTTCACAAGGACAACCTGACTAAGACTGAGATGGGAAAAAATAAGTCACTACAGCAGTCAGGTGCCCAGATTCAGTTGAAAGCCAAGGACAGGGAAAAGGGTTTACATGATCTTCATCCTGACCTCTGATATGTTGAAGGAGCGGGGCAACATGCACAAATAAAGAATGTTGCCACTTAAAGAGACGCCATTTTTTTCTTGTAGATATGTTTGGAAGGACTGTTTAGAATTATGTGATACAGATGTGAAGCTTCATGTTTCTACTGCAGATAAAGTATGACTTTTAAACAAGAAAAATATATTGTATGTTTTGTTTGGCATAGAAGTATATTTTCCCAAACAAAATCAAATAAAAAAAAATACTGTCAGTCAGAATCATAGAGACAGAGACAAATAACAGCTGGCAGTCTTAATAGGTAGCAAAAATATTTATTCAAATTATTCTGTTGGTTTCACAAAGAAATGCTTAATTTTACATTTTGTTTTTGATGTTGCTGTCTCTGTGGCACCTCACACTATTAACTTTCTTGACAGGCTAATTTGATAGATGAACTTGTGACTTTTTTCAGTGTGAAAAACCAACTAATTAAGAAAACAAACAGGGCTTAATACATTCCCCTCAGCAGGCTATGTTTGAAAAAAAATATTTTAACAGGGGCCATATTTGTAATGGATCCATTAGTGTGCCACAAAAAATCATTCAATGACAAAAATTGTCTAAGCATGGTAATTGAATTTACCCTCCATTTAAGTAGATCGTAGATGTGAGAATATAATTCATTAAGGATTCAGAGCAATTCATGGAATGCGCTTTGATATGTGCATTTATCTAGCATTTCCTTGTCTACCTTTAATGCATTATGTGCGTTGTAAACTGTCAACGTCAATACACATGCATTCTGTACAAACACAGACAAAGAACAAGGGTGGAGGAGGATACCGTTGCTGGTGTTGATTTGTGTGTGTTTATATACTTGTCGCTGTTTGCTCTATAAACAGATTTGCTTTGGTCTTTGTTTAAATTATGTAGCCGTGTTTATTTTTTCTTGTTTTATCTTTTTACTTACACAACAAATTATTGTGATTTGATTTTCTGGGGATTCTATTGTCCATTTGTTTTGACTATAATTCCCCTATCATAAGAAGCAAGTGCTGTGAAATGGCTCTAGGAATGGCAATGTCTGTCAGTCATTTGGTCCACCACTTTGGTCTACATTGAAATAGCTCAACAACTATTTGATGGATTGCATTTCTGTGCATACCTTCATGTTCCCCAGGGGATGAAGCCTACTGGCTTCAGTGATCCCCTGACTTTTCCTGTAGTGCCACCAGGTTTACATTTTATAAGTGAAATGTCTCAACAACTATTGGATGGATTGCATGTGACACAGATAACCACTGTGCTCAGAAGATGATTCCTAATGGATTTGGTGATGCTCTGACTCTTCATCACAATCAGCAGGTCAAACTTTCAATTTTTGTGACCAAATACCTTCTAAATGACTGAATTTACCATTAACCTCAGCTATACTTGTTAATTATTAAATGTTAGCATGCTAACATCCTAAACTAAGATGGTAATAGTGGTCAACATGGCTGAAAACACTGATGGTCTTTAACAGAAATGAGAAACAGTACCATATTGCACATATTATAAAACGTTTATGGCCAAATAATATACTATTTCTTAGATCTCTTTTTTCAGCTCTTTCAGTGACTGAAACATACAGTACACTTTGGATTTGTGGGGACAAAAAATACAGATGAATTTTGTTTCAATTGATGGGTTATTTATCAGTGAAAACCGGTGAAAAATGAAAACAATTACCTTCAGTCATGTTTTATTGAGAAAAGTCTCAATCTAATCTAAAGTCACATTATCACATTACTGTGAACTGTATAAAACACAGCCAGCCCGTATTCTTTGATTGCTTCAGATAGCTGAACCACAGTGTTGGCAGTTACATCTTTTCCCCATGCTGGTGGCACAAAGCAGTCTAATCATCAGTTCCCATCTGCTTCTGTTGTATTGGGCAGGTACGATAACAAGACGGGTTCGCAGTGGAAGATGTCCACACATCTGAGACACTCACCCCAATCTTGGTGGTAATTTTCTGTCACTGTAATACTGATACATGACAAAGAGCAGAGTAAGATGGGGAAATATAGCCCGTCCACAGCACCAAAGTCACTCTCTAAATCTCTCCTCATGTACCGCATCGAAGGTTCTGATTTTTCTCTTTGACAATAAAATTCAATCACAAACCAGCCATCTGCTGACATTGCTGATGAAGTGGGCACTTGTCAAAAAGACACAAACAAGAGGAAATCACTTTATGAAGGATTCAAGAAATAACCGAATACTGTAGTTTTATTGCTGCATCTTTAATGCAGAAAGTTCATGTCGATTTGGCTTCTCTTGCTTCAAAATGTGTTTAGTGCGGACCCTTTGGTTTGCATTATAGCACTAGTGTTTTAGACTTTAGGAATCACATCAAGTACATTACAGCATCCCTCAGATTTTTAACTGATGACAGCTGAGCATGATTGCCTGTACTTGTTGTGGCTTGCTGGTACTACTACAACGAGAAAACCACAAATCCCCATTTTCAGGTACCACCATAATTTTGTTTTTCAACCTTCACCATAGGAGATTTTGTGAATCAACAGCTGTTACTTCTTTTGCTGTTTCAGCCGTTGGCAGACTTAATGCAATAGTAGAACTTAATCAGCGTGTTAACTAACAAATTTCTTCCCTCCTTTTTTGACTAATTTTATTATCTGCCAGTTTTTTTGACAGAACTACTGATTTTTCATGTCAGTCATGTTCCATGACAAATGTTTCTTCATTCCTTCAAGCCAATGTCATTCCTTACCTGTCACACCTGTTTTTACTCAAAGTGAAACTCCATATGACTCTTTCAAGTATCAAACCCTTGCCAAAAAGAGTATGCACTTTTATCCTTCACAGAGGGAGGCAAGCTGAAATTTATTTCAGTTCTAATAGATTCCATCAATGACCAGTTTACATGGTAACATTTGCAAATGTCAGATTTATAATGAGTCCTGTTAAGCAGTGAAGAGTTGTTTATCTCATGCTTGTGTAGCATGGCTAAATTAGTTATGAATTTTAATAAATTTATGAGAATTAATACCCAATTATGAATTTTAATATTCATAAAATCAAAAATTATTCCTCGTTTCAGGGCACCACCGGAGTTGTTATAATCCTAGAGTCTCCGGACCTCTAGGTTGCTTTTAATAATTATACAATTATTACCAGTGATCAGTTAGTTTAATAAGTGCTATATAATAATTAAATCAATCAGTCAGTCTCATATCTAAAGGGTCAATTCTCTTGGCAGGGATGTAGAAATAGGCAACACACACAGTTCTTGATTATATTACAGTGAATTTATTCTCTAACTAATGCGATATAAAAGGGTGGTTAAATACAGGGAAAATAAACAATGGCTGCACAATGAGAATGGAGGTTCAATTGTGGGAAGCATTTGACTCATACGGCAGAGGAGAACTAATGAAAGTAAGATATGAGTTTAGGAGTTAAACGGTGAAGTTGGCTCGACGAAAAAGCTTAAAAATCCCTTTTGTCAGTTTAACAGTCAGGCGCCAGTTTCATGATCAATTGCCCAGGCATAGCACTTAAAGAAAGCTACTTTTCCACCCCCCCCTCATTGTGCGATCTCCATAGTCTGTTGTATAATTTGATACACTTACAATTTCTGTATTTTGTATATTGTATCAAAATAGATTCTATCTGTCTTTCCATAAACAAAAAAAGCATGTTCCAATCATCCTGTTAAGCCTGTTAGTTAGTGGTTTGTGCATGTCCTGTGCTTCCATTGCTTAGATTTGGCTGCTATGTTTTGTTAATGAAGTTGACTGCATTCAGAATTTAGACCAACAAACAAACAGCCAATGAGTGAGCAAGGATAGGATAGGAGCGGCTATTTTTGAGTTTGTATTTCTCTTAACCTGCGTGTTTTTGGACTGTAGGAGGGAAACGTAACACCTGAAAGTATCCTACTTTAACACAGGAGAAAAAATCAAACAACAGAGAAAAGGCCATATCAGGCTGGGTCGAGTTCAAACCCAGGACCTTTCTTGCTGTGAGGTGCTAGCCACACAAGCTGGTGCTAGATCAATAGTAAAGACTTAAAAATCAAAGGCATTGTTGATCACAGCCTTTTCTCAATATCATCCTCAGTACCATGCAAAATTGTTTTATTTATTTATATAATTTGACAATTTTTGCATATAACGTTTGCTTTTGTGAGTAGCATAAAGGAAACTACAAACTTCATCTCATTATACAACCCTGTTGTAAAATAACAAATAACCTTGTACCTTGTATATTGTGTACCCATTGTAACAGTTGGATGTTGGCCTTCAAACTGTCTATTAAAGCCCTCAGCACTGTTCTATATTCTATATTACCACTGCAGCACAGGTCAGACAAGTCAGCTGTGCAAGGAAGTAAGCTGTTGTTTTGTAATAACCATGTACAGGATAAAGCAGATGCTCTGTGATGCCCCTCCTCATGACACACCGCCTTAGGGTTGCTAGAGACACTAACTCAAGTTGAAACAACAAGTTATGCAATAACAAAAGGTTTTCACATACAGTCTCGGACCAACACTATCTACTTTTGCATTAGATTGGAATATTTATCCACATGACAGAAGTAGCTGTCCCCCTCTCTGGTATATATTCCAGACATTAAGCTGACAGCCCTGAACCATTAACTCTCCACAGCAGCTGTTAGAGCCGAAATGCTATCACCTTGCTGTCCAGGTTAATAAACCACTAACTGTTGTAATCCCCAATCTCTGCCAGAATGCTGAGGTACATTGGGTAGAGAGTTATGAGGCACGGAGGAAGCTACAAATTCAGACAGTCAATTTGCTGTTCTCTATTGATGTCCCCACAGTGAGAGAGTGTTGACATTAACAACTGTCTGAACTTGTACCACTTTCAAGCAACAGGCATGTGTTGAAAGGTGTTAGATGATAAACTCAGTGCCAAATCCGTGGAAGGAATCAATTAAGATCATGGTATTTATTAACAAGGTTGGTTTCTTTAGGCTATTGTGAAAAATGAAAGCAACAGCTATATTGTATTTTTGCATAAATTGCATAAAGAAATTCATAATAACAGTGA